CTTTTTTTTTTTTTCCTTAATTTGAAAAAAAAAAAAAGAAAAATACCTTAACCAAGCAAGGAAATTGGTTCTATCCAAATCTTATTTGACTGATTTGTAAAGAAAAATTTTCTCCTTAAGGGCCAAATTTTCCAACACTCAATTCCAAAACTTCATGCCCTTACATTCTGCCATATGTTCTTGTAAGGAAAAACAAAGAAGAAATAGTACTTATTATTGGTTCTGACCTCTCTCTCCCCTAAGAAAATAAGTTTGTAGAATAAATCAAGAGCAATTTTTTTCCTTTAAAAAAATATTCTTTCTTATTTTTTGTATTGAAAAACTGCAACAACAAATCACGAGCCACCAGAATCGGTCATTTCTGTCTGCCATGGAAGCTTACTGTTCCACTACAACCACGGCAGTAGTTTTTCCTGTCCACCAACATCAACAATCGAAGAATCACCAGTCCAGCCACAGTCGACCGCTTCTGTCTGTAGTGAAGCTCTTATTCAGCAGTGTCTTCAGTTTCAGCAGGGTTGATTTTTTCTGACCGGAAACAGACTCTTGATGCATTGTCCAATAGATCAACAATATTCCTCACCAACAATCGACCTTATGTGTACATACTAGAGATGATTTGCACGTCAGTCTCTTTTGTCTTTGGAAAAACCAGCATTCCAACAAACCCAACTGAATTGTTCGACTAAATTAGAAGAGAATCATGTGAAGTTGCTCTTTCTTCTGTTAGTGCAAGGTCTTAGGTAGGCTCACAAGGATGAGGTCATTTATCAAGTAGATGCAGCAACATGGGCTCAGCTCTGATACCATGTTGAACACTAAAGTGAACAGAGACATAATAGATATGAAGTCCAGGAGTCGACAACCTGCCATCTTTCTTACTCATTTTTCCTGCTCCCCTATTTGAATGCATGTTACAGCTATTTCTGGCTACTAGACTGATATGGGGCATGTTTTCTTTTCCAGTGAGTGCAATGAACTCAAAATAGGGCACGATATCATGCATGCTTATGGTTCTTTCGATTTTGTAAATTCTTGACATGTTAACAAGTCTTTAAGGGTGTTATTTAATTTGTTCTACCCTGTATGTGTTCCTTTTTATGTTGCAGGGACCTGAGATTAGAACTGGTTTCCTAAAAGATGCGAAACCTATTCAGCTCAAGGAAGGCCAGGAAGTAACTATAACCACTGATTACGACATCAAGGGGGATGAAAACATGATTTCCATGAGCTACAAAAAGTTGCCTGTGGATGTGAAGCCTGGAAATACTATCTTGTGTGCGGATGGAACTATCTCTCTTACTGTCTTGTCATGTGATCCTGAATCTGGAACTGTAAGATGCCGCTGTGAGAACACCGCAACGCTTGGTGAAAGGAAAAACGTCAATCTACCTGGTGTTGTGGTGGATCTTCCAACACTTACAGAGAAGGATAAGGAAGATATCTTGAATTGGGGTGTTCCCAACAATATTGATATGATTGCTCTGTCATTTGTACGCAAAGGTTCAGATCTTGTCAATGTCCGCAAGGTCCTTGGGCCCCATGCTAAACGCATAATGTTAATGTCAAAGGTATGTTTAGTTTATTCCACACTTCAGTTTTCCTGGTGTTATTGTAACTCCTTTTGTCTTTGCTTAAAAAGGGGAAATAACTTGTTGTCATCGTTAGAGCATAAGTTTCAAATCATGTTAGTTCTTGTCTTTTAGTTGGCTTTGTGGCAACGCAATGGATGTTAATTTTTGGGAGGGAATAAGAAGGTGGATTTTCTCCCTTGGGGATTAGATATACTACGGAACTTCTTATCTCCTTTGTGCATAGCATGTGGTGGAGGGACAGGCCTTTAAAGATGAGCTTCTCAGAAAATGTCCCAATGCTAGGAACAAGGATGTCAAGGAAGCATGGTGAGCCTGTTGCTCTTGAGTGAGTGGGGAGGCAGTTTAAAATGCTTCCTCTATGGACATTTAAGATTGGAAAATAAATTGTCATTCTTCCTTTGAAGCTCTATACTAGGTTTATTTGGATGAGGAAGAGGCAGTATGGTTTGTTTTGATTGTATATCGTTCCTTGGGGTATTTTGGGAAGATTATAACTGGAGGGTACTTTTCCTTGCAGGAAAAGGGGATTTTACATAACTAGTGTTCCTGTAGCAAAGGGGATCTAGAGCTCCCCCAATCCTGCTTGATGTTAGGAAGGCTTCATTTTCTCCCTTTAAGTGTCCATATATATTTTTTTGGTTGATTAGTTATTCATTTAGTTTTAATGGTTTATTTTTCAAAGGTTGAGAATCAGGAAGGAGTTATCAACTTTGATGAGATCCTGCGAGAGACTGATTCTTTTATGGTTGCCCGTGGTGATCTTGGAATGGAGATTCCAGTTGAGAAGATTTTCTTGGCGCAGAAGATGATGATCTACAAATGTAATCTTGCTGGCAAGCCCGTGGTTACTGCCACCCAAATGCTCGAGTCCATGATTAAGTCTCCTCGACCAACTCGTGCTGAAGCAACTGATGTTGCTAATGCTGTGCTTGATGGCAGTGATTGTGTTATGCTCAGTGGTGAGAGTGCTGCTGGTTCCTATCCTGAACTTGCTGTGAAGATTATGGCACGAATTTGTGTTGAAGCTGAATCTTCTCTTGACTATAGTGCTATCTTTAAAGAGATGATACGGTCAACTCCACTACCTATGAGCCCCTTGGAAAGCCTTGCATCATCTGCTGTACGAACAGCTAATAAAGCGAAAGCTAAACTCATTGTTGTTATGACCCGTGGTGGGACTACAGCCAAATTGGTCGCCAAGTACAGACCAGCTGTTCCCATCCTGTCTGTAGTCGTCCCAGTCTTGACAACTGATTCATTTGATTGGACCTGCAGTGATGAGACCCCGGCAAGGCATAGTCTGGTATACAGGGGTTTGATTCCCATACTGGCTGAAGGATCTGCAAAGGCTACTGATGCAGAATCTACCGAAGTGATTCTCGAAGCTGCTCTAAAGTCAGCAACAGAGAAAGGCCTGTGCAAGCCAGGTGATGCTGTTGTGGCACTTCATCGTATTGGAGCTGCCTCAGTTATTAAAATTTGCATGGTGAAGTGACAGAGAGCATAGAGAATGTCCTGGTTGAGTTTCCAAATCAACAGGAAAGAAAAAAAAGAAACATGGTTTGGTTTTTTTTTTTTTTTTCGGCTTTTATATCTATCGGTGCTTATAGCATATTGCCCGTAGTATAGAATTTAGCTATTTTCTGGATTGTTCAGAGCTATGTTACAACATATTCAGCGACTACCTTTCTGCCATCTGTGTTTATTTTAAGATAATTTTACAATACAGTCCATTAATATGGCCTGATTTTGGAAAATAACAACCATGATTCTGGAAGTGTTTCCAGATCAAGATTGCTCTTCAATTGATCCTTTTATATATTTTCTCTGTTACTTAACTGAATTTATTTTTGAGATATTTCACATGTGACAAGGGAACTTGATCATCATGAAATCGACTTCATTAATTTCGGTTTTGTGATTCACTTTGGACAAATTTGAAGTTTAGATCAATGGGAAATTGTAAATTTTTTTATTATCATATTTTATTATTTTAATTTATTAATTAATATTATGTAATTAAAATTTTATAAAAATAATAATTTTATATAATTAAAATTTTAATAAAATAATAATTTTTTAATCTATTTGATAGAGAACTGTAATAAAGTTTAATTGATTATATTTTTACTTATTTTTAAATTTTAAATTTAAAAGTTATTTTTAATCTAATTTAAATCGATCTATATGTATACATTTACACACACACACACATATATATATATATATTTCTAACACTCTACTCGAAATGGGCAGGTCGCAGAAAAAAAAAAAGGAATGTTATGGTAGAGATGGTGACAAAATTAATATATTTTTTTAAGAAATTTTGGATTATTGTGATAATTAAACTTCTGATTCCTCCTCCAGTCTAGACTTTAGAGAGAACATATTAAATAAATCATTTCAGATAAAAATGAAAAATTAATTATCTAAAAAAAGTACTCACTCATATCTGAGTTCATCATTATTATTTAATATAATAATAATAAAAAATTAATTTTAGAAACTTTAAAATTTAAATACAAATAAAAATTTAAATAACTATTGAATGAAAGCTGATTGCTTCTTAAACTCAAATTAACGCTCATTACCCAATCTAATCTAAACTCTAATTTTTAAAAAGAAGATAAATAAAAAAGAAAACAAAAGCAAAAAAAAAAAAAAAAAAAGGAAATAGTGGAAAAGACGATGATGTTTCATGATCAACGTCACTGATCCTGTTTTGATTGATTTCATCCTCTCTTTATGTTGAAACTATGGAAGGATAAGGTGAACCAAAGTTACCATCTTCATAAGTATTTCCGAGTAGCTGGTTGATAACTAGTTAAATAGTTAGAGTAAATAAATGCAGATGTACCCATATAAATAAAGAAATACATTTTATATTCAGATGATTTTTGATAAATGAAAGAATAAAGAATTTTTCTTGCTTGTCATTTTACTCTTCTTTGCTTCGAATTCTACCGTAAATTCATTTTTATTTACAGTATCAGAGTTATCTAGTTTGCACGATGGTGACGGGTCAAGCTCAGAGCAATTTTGCTTCGACGGGGAGAGTTTCGGTAATAAATCAATCAAATAAAAATTCTGAAATTTTCCTCAATTTAATTCCTTTCAATGGCATGAATTATCATACATGAAGCAAATCAGTT